GACCCCAGCCACAGCCCCCGAGGCAGAGGAAGCTGCCAGGTGAGCAGAGCGCCTGGACCACGCCCCCTGCCCTCAGGACCCCGGCAGCTTCCGGGGGTCACCGGCTGCATTCTCAGCCCCCCACACACTTTCCCCTTGGACACGAAGGGTGGGCAGACCCCACAGAGGAAACCAAAGAAGCAGCGGCATGCACGACCCAGCCGGACAGACGGCAGCGTCCACAGTGCCGGGGGCAGACGGAAAGGCCGAGGGACGCTCGCGCTCGGGGCCGCGTCCCTGTCCAAGGCCGTGTCCCAGGGCCTGGCCCGGCTGTGAGACCCCGGGGAGGCCGAAGAGCTGTCCCCGGGCCACATTCATTGTGAGGCGGCCACGGAGCAGCCACGGGACGCAGCCTTGAGGCTGAATCACCTTGTTACGGACCAGCATCCCACAGCCTCCTGGGGCCTGGCATATGTGCATGCATGCATGTGTGCATGTGCGTGCATATGTGTGTGTGTATGTGCATGTGCACATGTCCATGCGTGCGCATATGTGTATGTGTATATGTGTGTGTGCATGCATGTGTGTGCACGTGCACACGTATGGTCACTGGTGTCATCACGCCCACCCGGGCGGGGGTCCTCACTGTGGGGAGAGGGTCTTGCCCCTCGTGGGGACAGTCAGGCAGCAAGCACTGGAGTGCCCCCTGGATGTCCCGAGACGGGACCCGGGGCGCAGCTGGGGAGAGCTGCTGTGTGGCCTCTGGTGACACCCAGGTGCCAATGACACCTGCCGTGGGCGCAAAGGTGCTGGTGATGGCAGGAGGGGCCAGGCCCCAGGGAAGGAAGAGGGTCCTTGGCTCACATTTAGGTCCTTTTAGGTTCTAGGTCACAGGAGAAGGACGGAGGTGCCCCCACCTTCCTGCCCTGACACGCTGAGGACTCCCGGGGCCGGGGGGCTCTCCCGGGAAAGGGGAAGGGGTGCTGCCGGTTCTGTCTGGTCTGGAGAAGCAGCAGGTGGGCCTGTGGAGCAGCAGGCACAGGCAGGCAGGCGGGCGAGCGGGGTCCCGGGGCCCCCCTCCTAGCTGTGCTGTCAGGACGCTGTGGGGACCGCTCGGGATCACAGCGAGGTTAGTACACCGCGGGCCGGGGAGGGGGTACCTACCCGGTGGTCCAAGCCATTCTTCCCGTGTCCTGGGAGAGGGTCAGATTTGGAATAGGGGAATCCTGAAACAGACACAGCACAGCCGTCACGCACGCGGCAGACGCGGCCCCGCGGAGGGAGGCCAGGGTGTGGGCCGGCCGGGGACACCGGAGGGCCCGAGGATCACGCCCTGCCTCCATCCTGACCTCTGTCCCCAGGGACTGAGGAGGAAGCCGGGGGGGGGGGGTCCCCAAGCCAGCCCAGGACACCAGGGCACCTCGGGCCTGACCCCGCCCAGGCGGGCACTGTGTTTTGACCACAGGGGTCAGTCTGGGCCACCTGGAGCCGGAGCGGCAGGAGGCCCACCACCAACCGAAGGGCCTGCAGACCATTTCATTACATACAAACCCTCAGCTCTGTGCAGCGGGCATTTCACGTTGAAGCCCTAATTCCTAGCGGCTCTCAAAGCCTGAGACACGGGGTCCTGCCTCCCAGGGGATGCCCACCCCTGGTCCACCTGTGGCTCACATGGGCGGCCGCGTCTGCAGAGCGGACCGGGGCTCCCGGCAGTGCCCTCCTGCGCAGACGTGAGCGAGGCCCGCGTCCTGGCTCCCTGGAGAGGCCGGGTCCCCAACCGGAAGCACCTCCGGAGGCCTGGCCCAAGCTGTCAGTCCTCCCATAGCCTGTGGGCCCCAAGCACAGAGCCCGCGTCTGCTTCTCTGGGATTCTGGCCTCCGTCCCAGCCGGCACCCAGCTGCTCAGGTAACGGTGCTCAGGGCCAAAGGCCAGGGCCTGGGAGCCGCCGGGCTGCCCTCGAGGGCTCAGAGGGGATGTGGATCCCGCCCCTGGGTGTTCAGGCCTCACCCACCCCCTCCGAGCGAAGGATGAGGGGCCAGGTGCCCTTCCTTGCGAGGGTTCCTCGAGAACTCAGTGAGGACAGGAACATCCTGTACAGGCGCATCTGGGGACCTGCCTCCGCTCAGGGCCCTGCCTCGGGGACTTGCTTGCCCCCGTGGCCTTCGGAAGGTTCTGGGTGTGGGTCAGGAAGGGCCTTTGCAACATCAAGGTCAGAGTTCCCATACTCCTTCTCGCAGAGGAACCCTCTTGTCACCTGAAATCTTACTCGAACTCTGACACACACAACAGATCAAAGTCGGGCTGGAAGACAGAGTGGGAGAGGGGCCTGGGGCCAGACCCGCTGGGACGCCCCCCTCCTCCCAGCCTCTTCCACGGCTGCTCCAGAAAAATGACTTGGCCGACTCCTCCCATTTCACAGAGGGCACATGGAGGCACAGACACAGAAGGACCTGTCCCAGGCCACCCAGCCCCCGGGCTGCAAGACAGGCCTCCTTTGTCTGAGGATGTCGTTATTTCCCAGCCATTCCTGAGGGATACTTCCAGCCAAGCAGAGTTCACGTCGACAGCAACTGTCTGTCAGCACCTGAAAAATTGGTGCCACTTCCCGCTCGCCTCCATGGTTTCCGGCGAGAAATCGGCTGTCCTGTGAACTGGTGTTCTCCTATAGAAAATCTGTCTTGTTCTGCTCTCGAGAATTTTTCCCTCTATCTTTAGCTTTTTGAAGTTTAATGACAATGTGTTTTTGGAGTAGGTTACTTTGGATTTATCCTATTTGCGGTTCACCTGTTCTTGAACCTGTGGGTTTACGTGTTTTGTCAAATTTGGTCAGTTTTGAACAATTATTTCTCTGAATACTTCCTCAGACCCACTCACTTCTCTTCTTCCGAGACGCTCATGATACAGTTGTCGTCCCCCAGACCGAGGCTCTTTTGTCTCTGTTGTTCAGAGTCTCTGATTCTCTCCTCTGCCATCCTCTCTGTTCTGTCATTGAGCCCATCAAGGAAAACTTTTATTTTGGTTGTTTTCCTTTTCAGGTCTGTAACTTCCATTTGGTTATGTTTTCTAATTCTTTGTGAGATTTTCTTCTCTCCCTCCCCACCCCCCAGTTGTTTCAAAAGTATTTGTCATTGTTTGTTGAAGCATTGTGGTGATGGTTGCCTTGAAGATCCTTGTCAGGGAGCTCCTAACATCTGATTTTTCTTGGTGCTGCGTCTGCTGTCTTTTCTCATTCAAATAGTTATCTTCATGGTTCTCGGTGTGAAGACTAATTCTCCCTTGTTCCTGGACATCTGGGAGATGCTGGGTTCTAGCTGAGTCTCCTAGTTAGCAGGCTGCCACGCTGTTTAGGTTTACGAAGTAGGGCCTGGCTTATTATGGGTTGTGGTTCTGATGACAATTTAGTCTTCAGAATGCTTGTCCAATGCCCTCCTGGTCTGCTGAGCTCACCTGGTGTGGGAGTGAGCTGTACCTCCTGGGATGCTCTGTGCCCCGAGGTGGGTTGGAGACAGCGGCTGTGGATGGAGCATGTTCCCCTGGGCGTGCTCTCCAGGCGGAGGGGTGCCGATGGGCCTCTGGCTCAATATCTGCAGTGCAGCTGGCAGAGGAAAACACCCACCTGGTCACCTTGGGCCACTGCGTGGGCCATGACACATGGAGTCCTGGCTTTTTCAAGGCCCCGAGCCAGTCCACTTCTCCTGTCCCCCTGCAGAGCTCTGTGGTCGTCCGCTGTATTGTTTCTGGATTTTTCCTTTGCACTTCATGGGGGAGAGCCAGGAGAGAGGGGTCTCCACTGTCACACCCCGAGGCTGCTCTCTGAACCCATCGCAGTGGCCTCGCCGGGGGTGCTTGTGGCTGGCTGGCCAGCAAGCCATTCCGCGGGCAGGTCTTCATCAGTTTCAACAGGCCCGTGAGTGGTTTTCCGTTCAGGGATGTGTGGATAGCTGCAGCTGCGTGGCTCTGTGCGGGCGTGGGTCTCCTCTCTGGGCCTCCATGTCCCCATCTGAGGCAGGAGGGACCTGGAACCCCTTTAGCCCCGAGTGACTTTGACCAGGAGGCCCCTTGGTGGGTCTGAGCTTCAGGCTTCAGAAGCAAGCAGGGGGCACTGAGGGGTCCGGGGCCAGGCTGGTCGTCCTGACCCCACGCTGCCATGACGTCCCACAGGGCCCAGGACAGAGGACGCTGGGGGCCCACACAGGAGCCCTGAGCCCAGCTGCTTCCTGCCGGGAGGACAGGTCACCCCCTTTTCCAGATGAGGTGACTTCAAACACAGAGAAGTTTGCACTCATGTCCAAGGTCACACAGCAAGAGACAAGCTAAGACTCAAACCCCACTGGACTGACACCCAGGTCTAGTGGATTCTGCCCACCCTCACGTGATCTCACGGACACTGTTGCTGCCTTGTGTTAGCTGAGGCCACCCCCATTCTCCCCCCAACCCCAGAGCAGCGCCGAGTCCCACGAAGGGGAGACCCAGACACCCACTGCCCGATGAGCACCCACCGAGAAGCTGCTACGTGCAAGTGGGGGCGTCACAGAAGCTGACGGGGGAGCAGGGCTTCCTGTGGGGAAGGGGTGTCTTGAGACGCCATGGCAGTGGTGGAGTGGGACAGAGGAGGCCCTGAGAGGTGTGACTCGAGACGCTGGCTCCTTATCATGAGCTCCCGAGGGACTCATGCCTGCTTATGGCTTGTGCCCCTGCCCACAGCACCGGAGCCACACACTGTCTAGCCCCTGGGCCGGTGGGCAAGCCTGCTGGGCACAGTGGGGCACACGGATTTTGGCTAAAAGTAGGGTCCCTAGCCAACCCCATGAATGGCAGCGGCTCTTGGGGTGCTGCACTCTTGCACCTGGGCTTTGGGTGGTCTCCCCCAATGAGGGGCCAGTAGTGGCTCTTCCTGGGCCAAGCTCTTCTCCTGACGTCCGGGGCTTCCACCACCCTGGGGGCCAAACACAGGGAGGGGCCCGAGGGTACTCTGTCCATCCAGCTGGAGGCCAAGTCCTTGCACAAAGACCTGGCCGAGTCTCTCTGCAGGAGTCTCTGCACCAGGTAACCTCCTGCCCCTGCTGGACACTGGGGCTGCTGGACCCAAGCCCTCCAGCTCCCCCAGGCCTTGCCCTCCCTGCCCTTCCTGGCTGACAGCACTGCTAGCTGCCCCTTCCATCTTTCTGGGCCCACTCCACTTGTATGGCGCTATCCAACCCTGGTGCCTTGTCCCAACTGCCTCTCTCCTTCCTCCAGTGTCCTGGTTCCACAGAGATGGGGAAGGGAGGGGTCCGGGGAGTAGCTGGGCTGGGGCAAGATGGGGAAGGGAGGGGCCCGGGGAGTAGCTGGGCTGGAGCAAGATGGGGAAGGGAGGGGCCCGGGGAGTAGCTGGGCTGAATCAGGAGAAGGACCTCATCTGGGCCTTAGGCCCTGTTGAGAAAGTAACTGAACTCAGGAACACGTTTTATCAGGCACATGGCGGGAAAGTCCAGGGACTCGGGCCACCCCCTGCCATGAGCCCAGGCCCATCTGGGACTCTGTCTCCAGGCCAGTCCTCCTCTGCACTCCTAGCCCGTCAGCCCACCCCTAGCAGGTGCCACAGCAGAAAGAGCCCACCTTGCTCGCTCCTGACCTCTGCATAAAGGTGCCTCTGCCCGTATCATCCTGCCCCCACCCCACCCTCCTCCCTGCTCACACGTGGTCCCACCACCTACACTGTCCAGGGGCCCATGTTGGTTATCTGGGCTCCCCAATCCCTTTCACTTTGGCCCAGCAGCCTCCAGTCTGACCACCCAGAGGGGCACGGGGGAACCTCAAAAGAGAGGAAGGACCTGAAGGTTAGGAAGGTGGGACCCCGAGCAGCGCAGGCCCACCTACAGGGTCCAGGCCAGAGGGGGCCCATCACCTCAGTTCCTCTGGGGGCCCTGCGTCTCCTCTTGTGTCAGGACCCTTTTCTTATAACAAAACATCAGTGCCACCCCTTCCCCGTGCAGCACCCAGCTCATCAATACAGCCTATGACACGCAGTCCGAGCACGCGCGTGCGTGGCACGAAGGCAAACACACAGCTGTCCATCATGAATGTGCAGAGGAGGCCCCACTGCTCAGGAGAGGGGTGTCACTCTGGTTTGTCACTGCTGCTCAGTGGGCTTCTCACTGATGGGGAATGGGGACCGGGCCCTGCGCACCACCACCTCTGCGCTGCCTAGCACCAGGCCCAGCACATAGTAGGTGCTCAATAAACATGTGGTGGACAGATGGATGAATGACTGAATGATGATTCAATCCCAGGTGAGATGTGTTGATGGTGTCACAGGTGGGATGAGGTTGTGACCGGCCACCCAGGAGCCCAAGGAGGGCCGTGGTGGGCGGCTGGATGCACGTGTGCTTGCTCTCGCCAGCGTCTCTGCCTCTCCGGGCTCCCTGCACGCTTCTCTAGGCAGGGGCTGCTCTCGTCTCCTCAGTCTCCCCCTTCGCGCCCCGCACAGCGTCTGGCACAGAGTGGGTGCTCAATAAATACCCGTTGAATGTAGCGCATCTCAATTCAACAAACATTTATTGAGCGCCCACTGTGTTGGATGTCACAGGCCTACCCTCCTTGGGCGCGCTGCAGGTGAAAGCGACCGGGGTGCAGGCGGGCGGCCCTGCTCTGTGCAAACACTTTGCTTAGTAACAGTGGTTTGCCAGTGGAACTGGTGTCGATGAACTCACATTTGGGGGCTCAAAGGAACCCCGAGAAGAGGTGGAGACCGCTCTGTGCGTGCTGCCCATCTGCCCACATTTCTCCAGAGGCTGGCGGGGAGCAAGACATGCCTGGTCGAGGCGGCCAGCGGCCGGGCCCTCGTCGCTACCTTCCTGCACGCGGGAGGCGAGGCAGGGTCACCAGGACAGAGGTCAAGTCACAGCTGCAAAGGCTGGCGCCGTGGCCTCCACTCAGAGCACAGGGTGTCAGAGCGCCAGCCGGAGGCGAGCGGACGACAGTCACGTCACTGTCACCATAAGCGAGCACCAGCGTGGCGGGTGGACACACTCACACACACACTCACACACTCACACACTCACACACACACTCACACACTCACACACTCACACACATCCTCTCACACACACACTCACACCCTTGCACACACACTCTCGCGCGCGCACACTCTCACACACACACTTACACACACACACTCACACACACACACTCGCACACACTCACACACTCTCACACACTCACACACACACTCACACACTCACACACTCACACACACACTCACACACTCACACACTCACACACACACTCACACACTCACACACTCACACACACACTCACACACTCACACACTCACACACACACTCACACACTCACACACTCACACACACACTCACACACTCACACACTCACACACACACTCACACACTCACACACTCACACACACACTCACACACTCACACACTCACACACACACTCACACACTCACACACTCACACACACACTCACACACTCACACACTCACACACACACTCACACACTCACACACTCACACACACACTCACACACTCACACACTCACACACACACTCACACACTCACACACTCACACACACACTCACACACTCACACACTCACACACACACTCACACACTCACACACTCACACACACACTCACACACTCACACACTCACACACACACTCACACACTCACACACTCACACACACACTCACACACTCACACACACACACTCACACACTCTCACACACTCACACACACCCTCTCACACACACACTCACACACTTGCGCACGCACACACTCACACACACACACACTCACACTCACGCACACACACACATTCACACACTCACACACACACACACACTCGCACACTCACACACTCTCACACACTCACACACACCCTCTCACACACACACACACACTCACACTCACGCACACACACACATTCACACACTCACACACACACACACACTCGCACACTCACACACTCTCACACACTCACACACACCCTCTCACACACACACACACACTCACACTCACGCACACACACACACTCACACACCGTGCATTCTCTGGAGGAAGCGCCCCACTTAGACCATTGGCTCCGGCACAGGCAGTCAGCTCCTGAGGGCCAGGGCACCTGCATGGGAAGCGACTGCATTCCCACCTGTAGCTGCACGTGCAGGTGTGGCGAGGTGGCCAGGGGCGGAGGGGACAGACAAGTCCTGCAGGTGTGTGACAGGCCACTCGAAACAGCTGGCACAGCCTCGGGCCTCGTGGGCCCCACCACCTGTGGGACTCCGCGAACAGCCCGGCCCCGCGCTGTGGCACGTACAGATGGGGAAGCAGAGCCAGCGGCGGGGAAGCAAGCCCGGCCACCCTGACCCGCCCTCCTCCTCCCTGCTCGCACGCAGGATCTGGGCTCCTCAATCCCATTCACCCTGGCCCGGCAGCTTCCTCTGACCACCAGGGGGCACGTGGGAACCGCAAAGGAGAGGAAGGACCTGAAGGTTAGGACGGTGGGACCCTGAGCAGCGCAGGCCCACCCACAGGGTCCAGCGACACAGAACAGTGTCCTCTCCCCCCCCACCCCGAGCCACGGGCATAAGAGGGAACCCCGGGGGGAAGCAGCTGACCTCCCGCGAGGAGAGTGGGGGGTGGGCATGCCAGCAGCCTCGCAGAGGAGGGCCCCTACCACCCAGCCAGGGGAGAAGACCGCCCACACCCCCAGTTTCCTGCGGGCTCTGGACCCGGGGCTGGTGCCACGCTGCCCCCGGGGCAGGGGCTGCCATGGGGCTACTGAGCGGGGGCGGCTGGGTCTCCCCACCTTCCCAACACAACTGTCAGGAAAATGCTCAAAGCAGAAAGGCCCACTGTCTACGCCAACGGCCCAGGGCCTGTGTGCAAGTCCTGCACCCTTGGGGCCCTGGGTGCCTGGAGCAGGGAGGGAGTCTGCCCATGGCTCTCCTGTGACCAGCCCTGCACCCCGCGATCTGCCTGCTGGGGGGACGGGCAGCTGCCATACCCCTTCCAGACCTGCTCCAGGACAAGCACGCCGCCTCCCGGGACAAGTCCCTCTGGGGACATTTTGGGGGTGACCTGCCTGTGATGACATCAGCCCTGTGCACCGGCTGCACCCCAGGAGGTGGGGGTGCTAAGACTCCTGCTTACAAATCCACACAAAACAATGACCCTTCTTTCGTTTGAGTTTTTCTTTAACAACGATAATGTCCAAGCTCCTCCCGCTCTCCCACAGATCACTCTCCAGCATGAGGATGAGGGCGAGATGAGATGGTCTTTTTGCTGAGCACCTACTATGTGCCCATCTGTGCACACATATCACCTCCTTCAGGGCTCAAACACCAGCCAGGCACACAGTGGGACTGACACCCAGTGACAGGCGAAATGCCACGCCACGAGGCCAGTGATGGTGAGTGGGGACTTGAACCCAGGACTGTCTGAGGCAAAGCCGGCATCTCTCCTCCGTGTTCTCGCGCCCACACCCGTCCCTGCTCGGCCTCTGCTCCCCGCTAAGGCTCGAGCTGGCCCCAGGAAACCACGCCGGGTCCCCCGAGAGCCCCCTCTATGGCGGCACACAGCCCCTGGGAGCGAGGCCCTCGGGAGGGTCCTGCATCTGCAGACGGCTCCGACTCAGGCTTCGCGCCGTCACCTTGCCGCCCGCACTCCCTGGGGACCCCAAGTCCCGGCTCCCGGTCCCTGGCTCAGGACAAGCGTGGGTCTGGGACAGGCCGCATCCGCTCCGAGTCTGGCCCCGCTGCCTGGACCGTGCGCGTCTGCTCCGGAGGGAAACGGCCCCGCGTCCAGCCTGGAGCCCGGGGCCTTCCCTGCGCGGCTCTCCGCCCGCTTGCGGCTCCGGCTTCGAGGGAAGGGCAAGCACGAAGGGCCTGTGGGTTTGCATCTGCGCTTTTCTAAGGAGCAAGGCTTCGACCTGGGGGAGCGGCCTGCGGTGCGGGGGCCCCTCTGCCGCGAGGTGTTTCGGGCCACAGGATGGCGCCTCGCTCAGAAGAACCACTCACGTGAGTAAAAGCCGTCTCCCGGGCCCGTCTGGAGAGGGTCTCTGTCAACCCCGCTGCTGAGGGACAGAGACTGGCTGTCTCGGTCGGGCGAGTTGGTCCTCGTGTCCGCGTCCCCCTGGAGAATCAGCCAGCTGCCCTTCTGCTGGGAAACACAAGGGTGCGTGATCTCCAGGTCATCCGCAATGGCTCCGCCCGCTTTACAGATGGGGAAACTGAGGCCCAGGGAGGTCCGGGGCCCAAATGGCTTCACACGGGGGAGCCAGCCTGGGGCTCTTTCCACACACACCTCCCTCCTGGAGGATGAGAAGGGGCTGCAGCTCCCGGGGCAGGAAGACCCAGCCCCGCCCGCAGGCCGCTGGCGATGGAAGCGCGTGGGGACACAGCCCTCCCCCTGCCCCCTCGCCCCCTCCTCGTGCATCGCCTGGGGCTGGCGTGGCCCCCAAGCCCAAGGGGTCTCCTCTGGCCTCTTACTGAAAACACCTGCCGCGCCCGTTCTAGAACAATCCTCCCTGGTGCCCGAGCGCACCCTGCGGCTCACTCTCCTCTCGTTTCAGACACAGGCCAGTCACAGAGCCGTGAGCAGGCCTCCTGGGCACAGGATGGGACCCGGGAGGGGCTGGGCCGGCCATGGGTCAGAGGAGGCAGCAGGGAGGAGCCAGGGATTTGGTGCCTGTTTCACGGGCGTGAGGGACCCCTTAGGAGCATCCAAGGGGAGGAGCCGAGGCTGCAGCTAGAGGCACCCACAGACCCGAGCTCTCCTGCACAAGCCGCTGGGACCAGCCTCCACATTACCTTCCTGCCGTCCTGGTCGGAAACCCCGTCCTCCCCGTCCAGGCGCCGCGAAGCTGGAAGGGAAAGCTGTCCGTCAGGACACGCCCTTTATTCTGGCTCCCAGGCCCCAGTTAGGCTCAAAAATATGGAAATAATCATGCCCGGCCGGCGTGGCTCAGGGGTTGAGCAGCGACCTATGAACCAGGAGGTCAGGGATCGATTCCCGGTCAGGGCACAGGCCCGGGTTTTGGGCTCGATCCCTAGTGTAGGGTGTGCAGGAGGCAGTCAGTCAATGACTCTTTCTCATCGTCGATGTTCCTGTCTCTCTCCCTCTCCCTTCCTCTCTGAAATAAGTAAAGATGTATTTTTTAAAATGGTGGGTCAGAGGAGGCAGCAGGGAGGAGCCCACGGCGCTGGGATTTGGTGCCTGTTTCACGGGCGTGAGGGACCCTATGAACCAGGAGGTCAGGGATCGATTCCCGGTCAGGGCACAGGCCCGGGTTTTGGGCTCGATCCCTAGTGTAGGGTGTGCAGGAGGCAGTCAGTCAATGACTCTTTCTCATCGTCGATGTTCCTGTCTCTCTCCCTCTCCCTTCCTCTCTGAAATCAGTAAAGATGTATTTTTTAAAATGGGAAATAAAGATGAGGCCCCAGTGGGCGCCTCTGGAGGGCGGAGGTGCCAGCGAGCTGGAGGGGCTGGGCAGGAGCGCTGGGCAGCCGTGTGCCCGTGCACCCCAGGCCTAACACCCAGAGCAGGTGGGTGAAGTGACGCCTCATTAAAATCCAGCCGAGCCCCCGGGGTGCAGCGACGGGACATTGTGAAGAGCACTTCCTCCTCCCAGGGTTTAACTGCAAACTAAGGAGGTCTCAGCCGTCCAGCCCGCCCTGTGCCCACTCAGCCAGGTGCCCCACAGGCATCGCTGCCTGTCACCACACAACCCACTTCACAGACCAAGGACTGAGGCTCAGAGCGATGTCCCGCCTTCCTCAAGGTCGTGGGTCAGCGGGTAGCAGAGGCTGCCCTTTGAACCCAGGCGGCCTGACTCCTGGTCCTTCCTCTGACAGGCCCCCTCACCGCTGGCCACCCCCAAATCACTGGAAACAGTCCGCGAAGGGCAACGACAAGGTAGAAGGTATACCCAGGGGTGACCACGTGGTGTGGAGCCGAGTCACGGCCCCAGAGCGGGTGCCCCCAGCTGGATGGCGTGCTCTCCTACCAAGTCTGACCCGGGAAGGCAGCGCCCACCCCGAGTCAGTACAGACCCACCCCGAGCACCCGAACTGACATGCCGACCCCAAGCACGGAGCAACGAAAGGAGGACCCTGGGCCTCCTATCCGCCAGAGACCGCGTGGCAAGGACGCGCGGGGGCCCTTGCCTGCCGCCTGTGGAGGGCCTGGGCCTGGTTGCCTATTGGGGTGCCCTGCCCCACACACCATCAAGGACAAGGCTGACAGCAGGCCCAAGAGCTGGGAGCCTGGGGCCTGGCCTCCAGGACCTCGACGAGGCAAGGCCCCAGCTGAGGCCCATCCGGCCTCCCTAACGCTTCCTCCCTCCCCCGCCGCCTCCTCTCCTTCAGCGAGAGACACGTTCCACCATGAAAATCCAAAGCCTGCCTCCCACTCGCAGAGGCAGGTTAAGGAGGAGCCTGCGCAGGGAGCAGGGTGATGGGGGAGGCGGGGGCAGGGCCAGGGGGGCGCGTGCCCATGCTGGCTCTCCTGTTGCCCAGACAACGGCCTTGGGGAGGGGACTCTGGAGCGTCTGCCATCCATCAGCGGGGTGCGTGGCGGCTGCCAGCAGCCCCAGGACCACTAGGCCAGTGGCGATTTGAGGGCGGAGACACTGCCCCGTCCAGCCCGCGGAGGCCCTGACGGACTGACTCAGGGGCTATTTGCAAACGCAAAAACCCGAGGCCCTTTGCTACGTGGAATCCGGAGTTGAGGCCAGGGCCTCAGGCCACCCTGGATCCGAGGACTTCCCACAGCCGAGGACGGCAGCTGGGGCCGGACTTCCCGACGCAGGGTTCACGGACAGCCCGGCGGTCTGGCAGGAGCCTTCGCTAAGATTTACACGTTCCCTCTGCAACACGCCAGCTCCTGGCCAACCACAGCCTTCGCAGGGCCCGTCTGCGGCCGCACGGCCCACGCCAGGCCCCGGAGAAAGGGGGCCTGGGCAGGAGACACGGGACCTCCCGGCGCTTGGCACTGTTTGCGGCTGCTCCCTACAGCTCTGAGCCTCAGTTTCCTGATCTGTAAAGTGGGCGAATGACACCCACTCCTCCGAGCTGTGAGGACGCTAACGTGCACGCTGTGGCCTGGGGGGAGTTCAGGTCTGAAGACCTGGGAATAGTCAAGAGGCCGACGTTGGGGCGGATTTTCAGCTGCTGTTTCAGTGTCACGAGAGGACCGGCCCCCGGAGGATAGGGCCCTGGGGGAGGGAGGGGTGCCTTTCCTGCCGCACCCGAGGAGCCTGGAAGGCATTTGCCGTGGGAAAGGCTGACGACCCCTGGGTGTCGCCAGGAACCTGTGTGGGCGGCACCCCATGACTGTGGGGTTTCTAACTTCCTTCCTGGATGTGGAGCCTGCCTTCCCCTTTTCCATCCCAGGAGGACCCCCAAACCGCAAGACTCCACTCCACCGCCCAGAAGCCCTAGAGGCACACGAGATCTGACTCACTCCTGCTGTAAAGCAGGGGCCACAGAAACAGCCATGACATGGGGCCCTCTTTGCTGTCTGGTATGGGGGAGGCTCCGAGAGGCGGGAGGGCCATCCCCACCCCCTAATACTGGGCAGCTGGTGGTGATGAGACAATGTCCACCTCCTGGGAAACCGGGGAGGCGTCCTTCTACCTCCTACAATTTTAGAGAGAGAGGAGGGAGAGGAAGGGTGAGGAAGGGAGAGAGAAAAACATCAATCAGCTGCCTCCTGTGCACCCCCTAGTGGGGATCAAGCCCACAACCCAGGCATGTGCCCTGACTAGGAATCAACCAGGTGACCTTTCAGTGCACAGGGCAATGCCCCACCCACTGAGCCACACTGGCCAGGGCCTCTTGTATCACTTTAAACCAGTGCTTCTCAACCTTCTGGCCCTTTAAATACAGTTCCTCATGTGGTGACCCAACCATAGAATTATTTTCGTTGCTACTTCATAACTGTCATGTTGCTACTGTGATGAATCGTCATGTAAATATCTGATATGCAAGATGGTCTTAGGCAACCCCTGTGTAAGGGTTGTTCGGCCGCCAAAGGGGTCGCGACCCACAGGTTGAGAACCACTGCTTTAAACCATCTAAACACCGGGCCTAGCTTCACGCCCCTGGGGGGCTGGAACACCAAGCCCTGCTCTCTGCTAAGATTCAGCACAGCCTCACTTAAACCTCCTCGAGGCTGGAGCGAGGGAGGTGGCCATGAACCCCGTCCAGAGGGGCCTCTGAGGGGTGTGGGCTCCGGTGACGGGCTGTGCTCTGCATCGAGGCCGCCCCACAATGAGCCTGCCAGGGGCTGGCGTTCGGGAAACATCAGGCATGTCCCCGTGGCGCCTGAGCTCTGGGCGTGTACCCGCTGGGTGGCCTGGCTGCGCCGCCCCGGCCTGTCCTACGGCCGCCCCTGCTGCCGCTCTGCTGCTGCCCGCACAGGGGCGGGGGCTCCCCGTTTAAAATGCCCCAGTCATTTCCTTTTGCTTTCTTTCTTATTCTTTTACTTTAAAAAAGCCATTAAATCGTAGCCAAGGAGAGTTAGAAGTGCTGTAGTTACAAGAAAATACTGCGGGGCCTCCATGCTGTCAAAGGCAGCCTCGAGGGCCAGGGGTCAGAGGTCAGGGGGCAGGCAGACTGGGTGCGGACCTCAGCTTGGCCACTGACTGGCCACTCCACCTCCTGCCCTCAGAGTCAGGAGGAAAAGAGCTGGCGTGTCGAGCGCGCGCGTGCCCCGACACGTCCAGTGGCAGCCTCGTGAGGGCTGGTCCTCTCGTCCCCACCTTCGTCCCCCGCCCGACGGGCCTGGCTGCCCGCTGGCCGGAGGAGGAAGGCCAGAGCGCCAGGAGAGGGTGAGGCGGAGTTAAGAAAAGCTTGGCGATACATTGGGGCCGGTGGCGGGTGGGAGAGTCGTACCGCAGAGGGGGAAGTGACTGGACAAAAAAATTTAAAAAAATTAAAAAAATAAAAGCTTGGCTTGAGCTGGGCCTGGAGAGCTGAAAACAACGCCATCGATGAGAAAGCCTAAACCTGGAGCGCGCCGCGTGTATCAGTGAGAGGAACTCAGAGGCCCGTCACCGCGTCCGCTTCAGGAGCTCGAGGGCTTCTCCCGCCCGAGTCGCGCTCCTCCATCCCCAGAGGCGGCCGGCTGGTCCGTTTGCTGAGACTGGGGCGGGGGGGTTACATGCCCACATGCATGGAGTCACATGCATGCTTGCATGCTCACACACACGCCTCTGACAGGGGACATGCCATGCTGACGGGGTGGGGAAGCCGTGTCACATTCCAACACCTGCCATGTGTTGGCGCTCAACGGCGTGCCACCGCCCCGCCGGGCACGGGCTCAGTCGGGCACAGGCTCAGCTGGGCACGCGGGTGAGGCCAGTCCGCAGCAACCACATGCGGGCCCTGTGTGCGTCCGAGTAGGCGCTGTATGCCATTCAGTTCACGAAGGAGTCAGCAAACCCCAATCCGGAACGCACTGAGGAATCTGGAACGCGCCGAGGAATCCGGCCACTGCTCAGGGTTTGGCAAACGGGAGTTCACGTGCCATTGGGTGGGAGGGGCATTTATTTCCGGGTGAACAGTGACCCCAGAGGATCCCTGCTGGCCGCCCCCTCGGAACCCCGGTGCAGCTCTGTCTCAGGTCTGACCGGGCCACATGCCACCCCGCCACGTCACGACCTCACCGACGGCCTCTCCCCTCCACACCGTGCGGAGGACGCCTCTGCGGCTAACGCGGGCCAGGCGAGCACCCCGCTGCAGGACAAGCCTTGGCAGCATGACGGAGGCTGGCGCGTCCTTCAGCTGGGCCTCAGTTTCCCCACTCATACCCGCGGGAGCCCGTCCCTCTCTGACCCTCGGTAAGATCTGGGCTCTCAGCGCCCTGGCTGGGAGGCAGCGGGAAAGGCCATCCATCGCCCTGGAAAGCAGGCTTCACACTCTTCCTCTTCCTGTCTTGGGAAGAGGCCGAGACCGCCCAGCACAGGGCGCCTGCGTCGACGACAGCAAGCCGCTCGCGTCTGCCCCGGCCCCTGACCTGCCAGCGAGCAAGGAGCATGCGTGTGCCATCCCCCCGGGTCCGTGTGGACGTGCTGTTTTCTGGCTGCATCTGAGCAAGACCCTCCGGTGTGGGGATTCCTCTGCCCGTCTCCTAGCAACGTAACACCACACCCCCACGGCATCCTCACCGGTGGCCCATGGAGGGCAGGGTGGACGGGCCTGTCCCATTTTGCAGATGAGGAAACCGGCTCATGGAGGTGATGCCCCAAGTCACCCAGAAACTGGTGCAGACAGGGGGACACCGTGAGCCTCCGGCCTCCTGCCTCCTGTGCCATGGCTCGGCCACCACTCCCAGCACACCTGCCCCGCAGGCTCAGGTGGAGTGGGCCTGGGTGACCACCTGTGAGGAGGCTGGGGCCCGAGACCCTCTCTCCACTCGGCATCTCAGCCCCGATCTGCTGATGCAAGCAGTTCCTCGCTGGAGGCTCGGCGTTCATCCTCTGGCCAGCAATTCCCACCACTCAGGGCCTCATTCCCACGCGGGGATGACCGACCGACTCGGTTTGTCCTGTTTCCCGCAGACGGGCTGGCTCGGGCTGTGACCCGAGACACCTGTCCCTCCCTCCTTGGCTGTGGTCAGCCTGGCTGCTTCTCTCCACGCAGCAAACTCCAGCCACCGGAGCCAGTTCTCGGCACAACGCCCACCCACCCAGCCCGGCACAACGCCCCCAGCCCGGCCGTGAGCGTCAGCCTCGGGTTTCTGCCACACAGGGTGCAGTGATCAGACCCGCCTTCCTCGGGCTCCATGCGGAGGCCCTGCCCTGGGCCTGAGCGAATGTGCACTTAATATTCAGGCCCAGGGCCGCTGCAGGGGGGCATCAGGCATCACACAACCCGAGCGAGGGCTTGGAGCAGGGGGCAGGCATGCAGGAGCACGCAGCGAGGAGGCACGGTACCGTGCTGCTTGTAGATGGGCGGCTTCCTGTAAATGTTATCTTTGACGCCAGTGTCTGGGAAGAAGACAGACAGAAAGGAGAGAGAGCAGGGTCAGCAAGGAAGTGAGTGGATGGCCGGTCAGCGCTCCCCAGGCACCCGGATCCGGGGTCTCCAGAAAGATCCGGGACCCGCCCTCGGCAGAAACCAGGCCCCACCGCCTCAGACCAAGCCTCAGCCAGCCCCGGTGCCAGCCCCGGGGGGGTAGGGGGAGGGCAAGGGCCGGCCCAGACAGCCTTTCGCTCCAGCCCACTCCCCGGGGGCACACTGTCTCCCTGGTGCTTGTGGGCCTTTGGAGACAGGAAGGGGGGGGATGTGCAAACCCATTTGCTGATTTTTTAAGCATCTTAGGACTGGGGGGGTTGGGGGGGCTGGGGGAACCAAGAGGAATCCCCCCCACACCCGCTGGGCGAAACGGGCCGCGGCGGTGCCTACCTGGGACGTGGAAGTGGCGCGGAGCCTGCTGGTAGGTGGCGGGCGGCCTGCTGTCGGACAGCACTGAGAGGCTGGGGGTGCTGCGGCCGCTTTCACTGCCTCCAGGCCGAAGCGCAGACAGCGGAGAGCAGGGGGAGCAGAGCAGAGCATTTCAAGCGAGAAAGCTTATTCGGTGACCCCGTCTCCCCTGCCTGTGGGCCCCCAGCCCCTGCCCGGCATTTCCACACGGGCCCATGACTTGTTAATCCAACCTCACGCCCACCCTCCCCCGGGCCCCGTGGCGAAGGCACAGCGGCTCTGAGGGCTGAGCATGGCCATGGCTCCTGGTGCCCGGGAGGGTGGCCTGGCCGCCTCAGCAGAGCCCCTCCCTTTGCGGGGCACGGCAGTCTCCTTGGGGGGCACGCGGTCTGCGGCTCTGGGCGCTGGTATTGGCATCGGCCCAGGCCCCTTCCTATCTGTATGAAACGGTGCTGCCCTCTTTGGAGAGGCCACATGGGCATCCACACGGGTTCCAGCGCTCGCCCTCATCACCGTCGGTCTTCAAAGCCGCGGTGGAAATTCACCAGCCACAGGGGAGCGAGGCCGCGTGGGCATCAGCAGCCGCCACCACCCCACCGCCCCGAGGTGAGCATGTGGCAAATTAAAGGGAAAGAACCCCGGTCCAGGCTCCGGTTCCTCGCCCCACCCGGATGTGCCACTGCCGTTTGGCGAACAAAGTTGGATTTACAAGTCACAGCGTGGACAGCCCTGGTCCCCAGGTGCACCCCCTCCCACCATGTTTAAGGAACAACGTGACAGACAGAACGCAATGGCATGGGACCTGGGAGGACCAGTGAGGCCCGGCGCCTCCCCTCCCGTGGCCTCAGGGAACCCCGCTCGCTCGATGACAGCTCGGCCAAGGGCAGGGCCACTCGCCACCCCAAACATCCCGTGGAGCTGCAGCTGCTCACGCCACAGGGCCCGGGGTGATGAGGCCGCATTGAACAGAGGGCGGCCCTGTGCTGCCGGGGAGGCGCCGGCTCAGAGAGCTCTCGCCTGGCTGGGTGTGCAGGGCCCGGGGCTCCCAGGGTGGGTGGAGCTCGGCTCCAGCAGCCACACCAGGGCCCCCACCAGGCCGAGGCCACAGAGGGGATGCGGGTCACTTCGAGCATCTTCCTGTGCCTGGGCCCCAATGTCACCTGTCGGTGCTGATGGGGCATTAGGGAGACAGCTGTCCAGCCCCTCCAGGCCCTGCCTGTCCCCGGTGGCCATATCCCAGCGCCGTGTGGAGCCGCCCTGAGCTTCCTGCCTGTGCACCATCCCAGGGAGCAAGAGCTCCTAGGCCACCCTACAAGTGTGGCTGTGACTCAACTGCACCAAGCCCACCCGCTCGGATGCCAAAAGTGAGCGCGGCTCACCCGGTACCATCTCTGAGGGGCGGGCTCCTGGCAGGGCCTCTGAACCGGGCGGCCTCACAGGGCTCGTTCCCTCTGTCTCGAACCCATGGCCCCACCCCCCATTCCACCCAGGCCACAGCCTCACAGGTCACAGGACTCCGGTCCCCAGGGCCCCAGCCCGTGTGCAGCGTCCTCCCAGGTCACTAGCAGGATCTGTGTGCACATTTCTCTAAGGAATCCCCAGCTCTACCCGGCGCTCAGGGTGCCCGGGCCCAGGCCCAGGGGCAGCTGGGACACAGCCGCGGTGGCTCCGGGACCACTACACCCCCTCACCTCCGCCATCAGGGCTTCCACACCAGCCACCACCCCTCGAGACCTCGGTCCCAGACCGTGATGCCTCTGTTCGCACCCTTCCCTCCTGGCGTCCCCTTGCCTCCCCCTCAGGCCGCCTGGAACCCCTTTCCTGGTCAGGCTCAGGGGCAGCGCCTCCCTTCGCCGCCCGCTCACGGTGAGGCCCACAGTAATAAAACACGCTGCTAGCATCGGCCCCGCGCGAGGCCATGTGCAGCGCGGGGCCACGTCAGCTGTCGGAACGTCCCGACGGCCTGCGGGGCGCGCACCCCCGTGGCCACCTCCGCAGGAGGGACAGGGCTGAGGGGCCCGGGAGGCTCCGGTTACGGCTCCGGGACCCGCTTCCTCCATCCGAAGTCTGCGGAGGCTCATCCTTCAGCGAGAAGGAAACGGCGCCGGACGGGGTGGGGGTGGGGGCGGGGGGCGGTGCTTGCTAGCGATGGGGAGCCCTGGCCGTTGAAAAGCCGCCTTCTTTTACTTCAAGCAAAGGGCTCACGTCGCGGGCATCGCGGCAACGGGGTTCCACAAACGCCACATTGACGTGGGCCTCACCCGTTTTCATCTGAAGATCTTTCCTGGCCCAGGATCCCCCGGACACACGTCCTGTCCAGCCGTCCCTCTCCTGGGCCCTCTGGACCTCGGCACGTTCTCAGATTCTCCTTGTCCTTCATGACCGGCTCTGCGTGGGCCAGGGGCTCTGCCAAAGGCCCCGCGGTGGATTCCTGATGCTTTCCTCAGACTAGACGGAGGGCATGGTTCTTGGAGGAAGACCACAGAGGTGCCCTCTCACCCCATCGGGTCCAGGGCACCTGCTGTCACATGACCTGTCACGTGATGCTGACCCAGGTCCCCTGGCCGAGGTCGGGGTGGTGCCAGGTTTCTCCACGGGACGGTTCCTCTCCTCGCCCTGCCACACCGGCCCCCGAGGGACCCGTCACACAATGCACCACTGCCAGCTTGGCTGCTTTTCAAGAGTCAGTGGGTCCAGCAGGGACCGCGATGGCAGGATCGGTGCTCCAGGAGGACGTGGTCCCCAGAACCAGGGGCTCTCTTCCCAGCAGACCTGATGAGGCCACAGGAAGCCAGTGATGGTGATGATATAAGAGAAGCAAGGAGCCCATCTGCTGACCGTCAGGTGAGGGTGTAAACCTGCAGAGCCTGCCTCCTCCTGGTTCCCTTGGGACAGAAGCCAGGACAGCACGGCTGCTTCTGCTCCTGCTGAGTCTCTGTGGTGTATGAGTCAGCTAGGGCTGCATAACAAACACCATGGACGGAGCAGCTCAGATAACAGACATTTCTTCCTCCCAGTTCTGGAGGCTGGAAGTCAGCAGCAGGCTTGGTTTCTGGTGCGAGCTCCCCTGGCTTGTCGACAGTCCCTGTCTCCACGTGGCTGCTCCTCAGCGCCCACAGAGTGGCTGAGAGATCTTTCCTCTGCCTATAAGACCACCAATCCCACGGGTTTGGGGCCCCACCTGTATGCCCTTATGTGACCCTAATAACCTCCTAAATACCCTTCTCTGAAGGCAGTCACATGGGGGGTTAGAGCTTCAACATATGGATTCTGGGGGGGACACAATCCAGTCCATAGCATGTGGGCGAAGAAGAGCAGGGCCATGTGCCCAGCGGGCGGACACACATGCTTCCGTGCAGGGTCTGGCCCTGGGAAGAGGCAGGAGGGGAGCCATGCAGGGTGTGCGTCCGCCCAGGGCACCCTGTGCTCTGACTGCGGACATGTCCCTGCCCCCTTCAGCCTCAGCCTTTGGGCCTGGTACCCGCCACTGGCATCCCTACGCCCGTGGAGTGGCAGGCGGGGACAGAATGAGGTGATGTAGGTCCCAGGGCAGCGGTGGAGAGGCCCTAATCTCTGCCTGCAGCTCTCCACCCCTCTCCTCACCTCACTGCTCACCCTTCACACCACGAGGTACCTACACTCCCCCCCAGGAACATTCACACACGAACGGAAACGGAGCTGGACTCACGAGACACAGCGAGGAGCACAGGCATGAGACACGGGGCTCGGGAAGCCATGCGGCGACACGGACACGACACACACGTGTGGCAAGCGCCCTGGGGCGCCCGCGGCACTGCGCGCCTTACCTCGGAAGTAGGGGATGTAATGGTGCCTGAACACGGACGTAGGGCTTGGGTGTTGGGACAGGGACAGGCAGCTACTGGTACCAACACTCACAGTACCAGCTGCAGGGCAACAGAGAGCAAGTCAGTCCGCCCGGCCGGGGCCGCAGAGCCGCACCAGCCCTAGGCCCACCTGCCAGGAACACGCTCACTTCCTCTTGCCAAGGAGGCAGTCCTTGGGGAGGGGAGTCGCCAGAGGCGCCCTCCACCAGTCTGCTTTGAGCTGGAGTGCGGAGGTCCCGCCCTCTGGGGACAGGAGCCGCTGGCCCCCTGTGCCCTGCCCGTTCCCCTCCTGGGGCTCCTTGTGATCCAGGACGCTGGTGGAGGGCAGCTGGATAGACTGCCCCCCGACAATCACAGGGCCTCAGCAGCCGAGATTCAGGTCTTGGCTCTCTGGGGTTCCCACCCGGCTGGGAACAGGCCACAGCCCAGGTGACCCACATACAGTGGTCAGGGGTCAGCAGAGGGCCCTTCACTCCCTGACTCGCATGCTTGCCTGTTCAGTCGCTCTCAACTCACTGATTCACTCCCTCCCTCATTCATTCTTCATTCCCTCCCCCTTTCCTTCTTTCATTCTCTCCCTCACTCAGGCATTCATTCATTCATTCCCTCATTTATTCCCTCATTCATTCCCTTTCATTCACTTACCCATTCAGTCAGTCACTCATTCATTCCCTCATTCACTCACTCACTCATTCCCTCACTCCTCACTCACTCAGTCCCTCACTCACTCATTCACTCATTCCCTCACTCACTCATTCACTTATTCCCTCACTCACTCAGTCACTCACTCACTCTTTCACTCACTCACTCACTCACTCACTCACTCATTCGCTCACTCAATTATTGACTCATTCCCTCACTCACTCACTCCCTCCCTCACTCACTCACTCACTCATTCACTCACTTGCTTGCTCGCTCGCTCACTCTCCCATTCACGTATCCACTTTCCAAACACGTATTCTTGGGCAGGACGCACCAGCCACACTGCAGGGAGCCAATGACAGTAACTGCAGATGAGTGAGCTTTGATTTTTCCACAGAGGCTGCAAGACTAAGCTGTCTATGGATGTGAAATGGCTTCATGCAGCGGCTGGCCAGGAGGAAGCAGGTGGAAAAATCCCTCAAAAAGGCAGCGTCCTTTTTGTGTGTGGAGTGTCCCCAGGACTTTGACACTCTGAGGGCGACGAGGCGTCTGGAAGCTCAGGGACAGCAGCCCACAGCGGGGCACCAAGCAGGGATGGGGTGGGAGGGGGAGGGGCCTCCTCGGGCTCGCCCTGCTCTGAGCAGCTGGTGCTGGCCTCCTGCCCACGTTCCCACGGGGCTGCTGTCCGTGGGGCCACCGCCCGCTGTGGGTGACGTGCCGAAGGGGAATGACTCTACTCTCTGGGCACTAACTCTGCCTTCCTCTTCCCAGACCCTCGTGAGCGGGAACTGACTGGGCTCCTTCCATCTGTGTGCCTTTGTTTCCTGGCGTCTGCTCTACTGAGACATGAATTCCGAGAGCTGCTCCCACGTGCTCAGCTGTGCCTGTGAGCTTCACGCACAGCTCCTCTCCCCGCAGGGGGACCCGCTGCTTCGCGGCCACCCCCCCGCCCTGACACAAGGGGCCTCCTCCCGATGGACGGGTTCTCCATCGCCCACCGGCAGCCCACACCCGCCCGGTGTACATAAGAGACTGATTCATAGCAGGAAAAGCAACAAGAAACCTGCTTCCCGAAGGGTCAAAGGAGCCGTGGGGCCAAGTACCTGGCCGGCTGTAGTGCTGGGGCGACCGTGAGGTCGGGGTGTAGCGCCCAAGGCTGACCGACCCGGCGGAGCTGGGGCTGGAGGTGCGGCACTGCCTGGAGGAGCGGTCGTCCTGGTCTCCCTGGGAGGAAAAACGCCTGGTGAGCACGGAGCGGAGCACGGCCCACCCCCTCCGCTCAGTGCTTCCCTGACCTCAGAGCCAAGTTCCCTGCATCTAGGGGCCAGGGGAGGCAGCAGGGGGCTGGCCTTGGTGCTGAACTCCTGCCAGCTGAGCATGGTGCCCGTGCCCCCAGGGGCCAGAGGGCAGGGCGGTCCCCTCCACCAGCCCCACTGCAGCTGAGGCTCCCATGATGGAGCTGCAGGCACCCAGTCCTCCCACACCCGTCAGCTCCCCTCCTGCAGGCCTTCCCAGCACCCAAGGCTCCTTGGAACACAGTGTGAGAACCACTGAGATTGTGTGCTCTCCCCAGCCTCGATAGGGTCCAGGCCGCGGGCCCCACTGAGGCAGACCCACAAGCACGGACAAGGCAGACTCCGTTCAAGCAGATGAGCAGGTGCTCGGAGCGTCAGAGCGGGCGGCAGGCGGCGTGAGATGGCGTGGCACGAGGGACAGGGAAGAGCAGGCTGCGGGCCCAACGCTGCTCAGCACGTGGCCCTGAGCCCTGACACCCAAGCCCAGTGTCCGGCCG